AGACACCCCTTGGTGTCTCGGATTGGCCGAGACACCCTTGGGGTGTCTCGGCTTGGTCGAGACACCCTTGGGGTGTCTCGGCTTGGTCGAGACACCCCTGGGGTGTCTAGGCTTTTCCTAGACACCCCCGGGGTATTTCGACTTCCCGAGACTCCGTTTGAGGTGTATTCGATTGTTTTCCCCGTAAATTCTCCGTCCGAACTCGGATTTGAGTGATTCCAAGTGCGTTGGATGCTTGACGAAGAGTTCGATCCGCTCTGGTGGTTGGATTGTCTGTAGAGTGATCGAGGCATGAAGGGCGTCGTCCTTTTTGTGAACACCGCCGGGTTCCCGATTGGCCCGGGTCTTCGTTGTTCCGAAATCCTATCAGCTCACGTAGTTCGTCGATTCACTTCAATCGTTCATCGACGTCAATTGGACTCCTGTGGATTAGATAGTGACGTTTATCGTCGCTCTTTAACACTGAACCGTTCGTGGAGACCTATAGGCAATTTTCGATACCTACAGTTATTTAGTTTAATTAATTTGTCTAAGTAAGCTAATTTTAGTTTAATTTTGTTTAATTTTAATTAACTTTAATTTAATTTTGTTCAATTTTAGTTTAATTATGTTGACAAACACTAAAGCCTCATGACATGAATTATGTTCTTACATCATTTTTATATTCTTTATTGTTGAATTTAGTTTAAAATTCATTAATTATAATGTAAAAAATATCTGATTCATGATAGTCCATCACTCCTAATTATGATGTAAAAACTATAAGTATGTGTGATTATTTAAGTTTGTGATGTGAAAATATGTGAAATAATTTTTCTTTTAAAAATAGAGTGCTATATAACACATTATAATTTTTAATAATGTGTTATAATCCAATTTAGGTGAATGAAAAAAATAACATTATCCCTAGACTTCCGTCCAATAATTACATCTAATTTTTTGCACTTATAATATAAGATAGACGACTCATATTTGGGTAGGAGACGAAGTTTTCTCCCGTAAATGATCGTTTATTTTATATTATATGGATAAAGATTGGTACTGAAATTCGTAATTATTGGATCTGTCTTTCTCGGACGGGCTAGGAATATAGTAGTGCATACATCAAATTTTGTATATTTTCATTCTTAAAAGTTTGGCAGCATGTATTCGCTGTTCTCAGTGTACAATAAGCGTATGTTGTTTTGTATTTCGGACGTTTACTGATACGCATATAACATCTGCACAGTGTACATGGAGAATAACGGGTAGGTGTTGTCGAACTTTTCCAGAAACAAAAATATACAAAGTATACGGAGTTGGGTGTAAGCACTACTATATTCTTAATGGATAAGAGACTTCCTATGACAGCCGTTAGATTGGTGTAATTAGTTTCTACGTACGTTTTAGATATATTTTATGTAGAAAAATATTTATATTGTTAAATGATAAATGAACGTATGTTTGATGTGTGTTGTATGTATAAGATCGTCATGAATATACTAGTAGTTGTGATATTAATTGTAGTTAATAATTATATATAATTTAAAGATAAGGATAATTCATGACAAATCATGGATAGATATCTCACGGCTTTATAGATTTCGTGACACACGATACAAGGAGGGATGTAGTGTCTTCATGTGTTATGCTGAAATGAATCCGAGGAATTTAAGAAGCGGTGCTATGTATTATCCTTGTTGTAGGTGTAGGAATATGAAGATGCTGAATAGAAATGATATACATATCCACCTAATAAAATCAAGTTTTGATGAAAAATATAAATATTGGTCATATCATGGGGAAGGTATCACTGAAGATGAGAATCCAAATGTACGTGTTGGTACGTCCGGTGGCCTACAGATAGATGACACAGAAACAATATTGAATGATATTTTTCCTCGACTTACAGAATATGATGTTAATGATAATGTCGAGGATGATACCAGAGATAAAAGTGAAGATGATATCGAAGTTGAAGTTGAAAAGGTAGATGTCGAAAGTGCCAAAAATACTGATGATATGCATTCCTCCACAGAAATAAAGCGAATAATGGAGATACTAGAAGATAGTGAAAAGGACTTATATGAGGGATGTACTGAGTACTCCAGATTTTTATTTATGGTGAAACTCCTACATATTAAGACACTTAGCGGTATGTCATATAATTATTTTTCGAATGCTTCTTGATTTTCTTCGGACGATAATTCCTAGACGAGAGAATATCATACCCCAAACAACTTATCAAGCTGAGAAGATTGTCTCCGTTTCGGGTCTTGATTATAATAAGATTGATGCATGTCCGAATAATTGTATTTTGTACCACAAAGCTAATAAAGACCTTCACCAGGGTGTTAGAGCTTCACCAGGGATAAGCATAAGATCACCCACAACATCCTCCACACCATCTACAACAATGAGAGCAGCCCCAAGTAGTTTCCAAACTATATCATTTGTCCTACGTATCTCTGCGTATTTGCTTCACAAGATTGGCCCAGAGCTGCATATTCAGGTGACTAACGAGATGAGAAATATAGCAAGGAGGGCCAACTCGATGGGAGATGTCATGGCTTACGTTGTAGAATATTTAGGCGGTGTGATTCCCTATAGCGTGTATGGTGGTATCATACAGCTCATAAGCATTGGTGTCGATAATTCAGGTGTTAGACAGAGCAACGCTCAGGTATCTTATTTTTCTGTATATTTATAAAATTATTTTTGTTTAATATGTTATCAAATATCACATAATTATTATTCAATTGGACCATTATACCGGAGATATTAGAGGGAGCAACACCTGTCCTCGTTCGAGGAATAGAGATGCTGCCGACAATGACGATAACTGAGTTTTTTTTATAATGTAATAAACAATTTTTTATTTGTTATAGCACTCTACTTTTATTTATGTCGTGTACTCTATCTTATTCATGTGTATTGCTAGTGTATATGTTGTTGGATGTATATATTAGACGGAATTGTTGGAATTGTATTTTGGATTGGATGGTTGGAACTGTATTTTGGATTGGATAGTTAGATTTGATTATATTTGGTTATGGATGGACTTGTTATGAATTTTGATTATATTTGGCTGGATGTAAATATATGTGTATAATGTAATTGTAATTAAATGTACAGGGAATTGATAATTTTAAATAAATTTTTTGTTAAAAAATAGCTACCTAGACACAATAATTGTCTAGGTTGACCCAACCTAGACGGAATTCCGTCTAGGTTGCAACCTAGACGGAATTAGGTTGCTTTCCGTTTAGTTTGGTCAATCTAGACATAATTTCGTCTTGTTTGAATCAACCTAGACGGTTCAATCTAGACGAAACTCTGTCTAGATTTCTCAAACTAAACGGGAAATGAAGCAACCTAGATGGAAAATTCCGTCTAGTTTGACCGTTTTTCTACTAATGTACCTAGCAAAATCTACCACTATGGACTATTAGCTTCTGTAACTATCATAATTTGTTTCAAATTAATCCCTTCAATTGATATTTTTATTCTTGAGTGGAGTGACTAATTTCAAAGCAAATCAAAATTGAGGAACCTAATAGCACTTTCCATGATTTAGTGGCTAATTTTAAACTAGTTGAAGAATTGAGGGATGTAGTAGCAATTTTCATACTTTGAGGGGTTAGTTTCAAAATATGAAAGTTTTTTAGGGACTAATATCGAAATCCCCCTTTTTTAAAAAAGGGTTATTTAGATATGAGTCCCTCAAATATTTAATAATGTCATATTAGCCCCTCAAATCTTAATAATTGCTCATTAGTCCTTCAAATTCAAGTGTTATTATTTGGTCCCTCAGCGGATGTTTTTTTTGAAGGGTTATTCGCAATTTGACACTCTAAAGTTTGCACCTTTTTAAACGTTGATATTCTAAAGTTTTTTGACACTTTGACACCTTAAAGTTTCATCATTTTTAACTTTGATACCCAATCATATTTTGACAGTTTGAACCCCAAAGATTCCATATGTTTTAACTTGGGTGCATCAAAGTTTACTTTTTTAACTTCGTATCGAAAGTAAGAAACATCACAATCCATAAGGGGCATTTTTTAAATTCACAGAAAACAATATTCGAATCTACGAAGGGATAACCTCGAATCCACATAGTAATATAAAAGAGAATTTTATTCTGCTAAAATAGAAAACAAACTAGATTTCCTACTAGGACAAAAATAGAAATAATAAAAATATCCTTAAAATACTCCCTAAGACTGAGGAAACAAATTAGAATGAAAATGGATTTGTTTCCTAATCAAAACAAACTCTAGAATATTATCCAAAATAATAAATAACCGACAAAAAGGCTAACATCTCTCAATTCGAAGGGAATTTTATAAAACAAATAGCGGCAAACCAAACACCAATCTGTTTGGTTGGTCTGTCCAAAAAATACGTGATTTTTGTATATTATTCATTCAATTCAGATGCACAGTTTGGGAGATAAGACTTGTTCTTTGTTGTAAGTCGATTTCTTCTGTCAGACCCTTGTTTAGACTTCTGACGATCTAGTTTCCCCATGAATGCATGTGCAATGCGCTCTATATCACTTTGATACCCTCAAGTTTAGGATATCGAGTGTTAAAAACAAAACTTTGGGGTATCAAGCGAAACAGTTATAAACTTCATCGTAACAAAAATGTTGGTAAAAACTTCGTCGTAACAAAAATGTTGGTAAAAACTATGAGATATCAAAGTTTAAAAAGATGTAAAGTTAGGGGATCAAAGTGTAAAAAAACTTTGGGGGTATTAGAGTTAAAATGATGTGAACTTTAAAATACAAAATGGAAATAAGCCTCTTGAAGAAGAGAAGATGAGTCTTAACATAGAAATCATAAATAAGGTGTATTTTGTCCACCAAGGGACCAAATTGCAAGACCCTCTAGGATTTGAGGGGCCATAGAGCAATTATTGAAATGCGAGGGAGTAATATGGAACTGTTGAATATTTGAGGGACTAATATCAAGGTAACCCTTTTTTTAAAATGTAAAATAACCTTTTTATTTAAAAAGCCAAAAAAAATCGCCCACCTCTTCCTAGAGAGAGAAAGGTAGGCGGGGAGAAAGAGGAGAGAGAAAGCTTTTCCCGAAATGGGAAACAAGAGGCAGCCAGTAGAGAAGAAGAGGAAGAAGAAAGGACGCCCTTCTCTTTTGGATCTCCAGAAGCGCAACCTCCGCCTTCAAAAGCAGCAAGAAGAGCACCAAAACCCGATCGCTCGAAACCCTAATTCTAATTCCAGCCCTAACTCTAACCCTAACCTCAAATTCGCCACTCGTCGGAGCACTAGACGAAACCCTAACCCTAACCATAACCCCAGCGATGATGATGATGATGGGGACGAACGCAAGCAGAAGAAGCTCAAGCTCGTGGTGCGGATCCCTAACGGGTCGGATTTGGTTGAATCGGGATCCGATTCCGAGGGATCGCGAAAGAGGAGGAAGATCGAAGCAGTTGAGGTGCGAATTTCGAGGCGATCGGATTTTTTTGTTGCTTTTTATGGAATCGAAGGTTCATTGAGTGCGAATTTATGCTTTTTATGTTTCCAGATTGGGAAAGGTTTGGTGATTTGACTCGGTCAACGTTTCTTGAAATCTGAGGGCTTTTATTTAATTCCAACTGTTTTCGCACTTTATTTGTTGAAATTGAAATTATCGCTTGCGAAAAGTTCGAACGTTGTCCACTTCCTGGCTTTATTTTAAGTTTCCCCCAATTTTGATTGCAGCTTTTAAAAATTACGCCTTTTATACGGATCGGGATTTTTTTTTGACTGATTTGGGGATTTGTTACCTTGTCAGCAGACAGCAAGACAAATTTCCAACTTGAAAGCGACGGACGAAACTCCTCCAGGTTTTTTTACGGGTTTTATGCATTTATTTCCTCAAAATTATCTTATGTTGAAGTAAATTATTGGGTGTCTATTAGTTTTATAATTAATTTAGTTGGTTTTGGAACAGGAGATGCATCAGATTCGGGGCCCACAACTCCTCTTCCTGACAAAAAATTGTTGGTGTTCATCCTCGACAGGCTACAGAAGTGCGTAGTTGGTGATTTCTTCTCTCAAGGAAATAAAAATCTCATCTTTTATGCTTTTGATGCGTTATTGTAGTTTGACAACTGCAGGAAAGATACTTATGGCGTGTTCTCGGAGCCAGTGGATCCCGAAGAGGTGAGTTAGAGGGAATTTTGAAGAGTATCTAGTTGGGTTTTTGTTCTGTGATTGTAATTAATTGATGTGTTGTCTTTGATTTATGTAGTTACCTGATTACCATGATATTATTGAGAATCCCATGGATTTTGGAACTGTTCGGAAAAAGCTGGAGAGCGGTGCTTATGAAAACTTGGAGCAATTTGAGGTTGGTAACAAGTAGCAAATTTAGCATATTTTTGATGATTTAGCTGGTCATGTAAGGATTCATCAATTAGCAGGTCATTTAAGGATTCATCAATTGTTACAACTACCATCTTTTATCTTGTCTACCTCCTTGCACTCTGCTTGCAAAATGTTGGTATCAAATTTGTAGTTGTACTGTAATTGGTAACAATGTTTAACTTGTGAATTTTTTTTTTTTTTTTTTTTGCGTCTAAGCGAAGCTAAGAAAAATGTGAATATGTAGCTTCATCTTGAAAGCATATACTTTCTTGTCTGTTGTACCTTAGTTTTCACTATTTCTTGATGATTAACCTTCATTATTCGGTATTCTATTGCTTATTCTATTGCTTATGCTGATAATTTTCGTTCAGATGCTAATAACTTTGCATCTCATGCTCATGGTTACATCGTTGAATATCGCTTTTTCTATTACTCGTTGATCATAATGGTTGTTCGAGGGCTTGATTGTTCACCTTTGTTTTGAAATGCTTTCTTATGAACATTGCTAATCATATGCTTGGTACAAGTATTTCAATCTTTCATTTTGGGGTATTTGCAGCTCCTTATGCATACTTGATAACTGTATTCATGATGATGTTGATGGCATTCCAGAGGACATTTGTATTAACAATATTGGGAGCTTATCTCTTGGTTTTTTTTTTGGTATACCTTTATTCATTTTCAGTAAATAATGATTATTTTTTAATTATAGGTCAATGGTGCACATTATTCCTTAAAGACACTTTCTTAGAGTGGAACTCTGAACACTGGGAACCTTTTTTATCACCTTAATTAATTAATTAATTAATTCATGTATCTGGTGGTGATGTGATAGTGTTGTTTATTTTTCCTTAAAACATAGTTGAAGACTATTTCTTCATCTGCTACTGTGCTACCTATGGTTAGAGGCGTAATTTATTGTGCTTATGGAAACACATATCTTCATCAACTAATCTTATCTTAAGCTTGGGGAAGAAAAATGATGAGTCCATTACAGACTTATCTAATGTTCCCAGGTGGCATATATTACTTGGAGCATGCTTCAGGTCTCATCGTGGATCAAAGGACTATAGGAATCCTCACATTTTATTCCATCTGTTGAAGTGTTTTTCAAATTTAAGAGGTTTCTTAAGGTCATCTTCACATGATGTTCAATCGTTTATTCACTTAGTTTACTCTGCCTACACAATATTGCACCCCTGTCATATGGATTTGGAGTTGAGTTTTGCTTTTTGATGGTAAACATGTCGCGTCATGTGTTGTAAGAATTTGATGTGTTGTCGATTAAGCATCCGGCTCTATTAACAAATAGGTAATTGAAACATAATATTAAATTTTGAGGGTAGTAATCTTATTTTTCTATTTATTTCACAAATAGCATGCATTCTTTATCACCTATTAAGCAGTACATCCTTTGATTTAGGTTACAAAACACGTCTTTAACACAAAGGAAGGCCACAAATCTAGTTTAAGATTAAATCTTAGTCATTAGCATTTGTTATCCATAAATCAATTTTACCTTCTCACCTGGCCCTGGTACACATTAACACATGCCTTTTACTGCTCGCATCTAAATAATGGGTTTGGTATCCGTTTCCAAGCTAGAATTTTTCTTGCTAAGGTTTTCAATCCGGCCTTGGAAAATTCTTGGAAAATTAAGTCTTCATTAATGTTTTCAGGGATGCTAGTTTTCATTAATTATTGTGCCTTGATGGGAAATGACTTGTATAGCTTATTGATAGAGAGGCAGCGGATGGAATAGTAGGTCTATCAGAACGCCACACTGTGCGGACGTTCTTTGTGCCAAACACGCCGTGCGCGCGGGTGGTGGTGGGGGTTGAAGATCCAAACTGCCCCTCCCAATTAAATTGTGAGGTTCAGATTGCCCTGCACGGTGTGCAGTGTTCTGATAAAATTCCTATTGTAGTATGTGGGGTGAATCATAATCATTACCTGATTAAATCGATACAGTTGGCCCATGCCCCAGGCAGGAACTCAGGTAATTTGAAGCTTGTTGACTTGGCATTTAAAAACAGCGTCAAGAGAGATAGGTGAGGTTGGCAACTCTAATTGCATTAATATGGTCATGGAAATGGTAGAGATTGATATGACAGACATGTCTATCTTGTAAAGCTAGAATACGAAATGGCATGAATATGAACATTAAATAAATATACATGAATATATGAATACATACCGCAATATGTTTTAGTTAGTGGGAAAGGAATAATCTCTCTCTCTCTCTCTCTCTCTCTCTCTCTCTCTCTCTCTCTCTCTCTTGTTTGGATTGCCATGAAGAAGAAAACTACTTTCAGTTTTTATAGGAATTACGGTCTAGAAGAAGTAGTGGGAAATAGAGAATGGATACATTGCAATAGGAAATGCAGGTAATGAAAATGCACTTGCAGTGAGGCCATAGTATCTCTTCAGCATTTAAAGTTCATTGAGTTAAGTGGATCCTGTAAATTTTAAGTTAAGAGTTTTATCTTAAATTTCAAAACTTAAATTTCAAAGTTCAGAGGGGCCAAATCCATCTTTAGATTTCAACTATGGATGAGAGCACCATTGGGATCCCTTCACCCACTATATTGAATGGGGTTTATAGCGAAGCAGAAAACCAAGCTTTATTATATATCACAGTGGAAAGTTGACTTTTGATGTATTCACTTACTCAGTCCTTGGCTCCCTTCTGGTCAGTGCAGGTCAAATCTGAAATTTGCTGGAGGCCGTTAAAAAAAAGGAATAATTAGAGTGCTTATTTTCACATATCCTTGACTTGTTACTCTGTTATTTGCTTGGTATGACAAAAGAAAAAAAGTGCTGCCAAATGAATTATATTCCTGAGTACATAACTATTTTTTTCATTGTTAAGTTCATGTCATACAATCTGGTCCTGTCACCATACTTCTTTCAATACTGATAAAGCTGTGAAGCACAGAACATGTTGTATAATTGTGAAAGTTCTAACTTTGCATCTTCGTTGTAATCTGTTTCTTGCATGTCTGATTTTATGGCTGGCAACTGATGTTGCTTTAAGTTTACATCCATTTGACTTGATTTTAATGTTTATTTGCAGAGCGATGTCTTCTTAATAAGCTCAAATGCTATGCGCTATAATTCATCTGATACAATTTACTTTCGGCAGGTAGCTGTTGTGCAGGCATTTTCTTTGAATTTAATTTGCATTTACTAAAAGATTGATTCCTGGAATATTGACATTATGGTATATCTTCTACAGGCAAGGTCCATACAAGAACTCGCAAAAAAGGACTTTGAAAATTTAAGGCAAGAAAGTGATGATAATGAAGAGGAACCAAAGGCTGTACGGAGGGGTAGGCCTCCAATTAAGGATGTTATGAAGCGAATTGGCAGACCACCAGCTGATCGCAGTGGTACTGATTTCTCCTGTGAGGCAACACTTGCTAATGCTAGAGAGAATATTCACAAGTCAAATTCGGTACGTGATGCATCGGGGAAAGGATCATCACCCTTTGACAAGTCCAGCATGGGGAATGTGCAGCAAAGATCAGAGAGAAATGGAGAATATTCAGGTCTACATACTGACTACGCCTTGATAGAAAAGTTCTCTGAGAAGTTCAAAATTTTGTCGCGTTGCTAAGAATTTCTGAACCATTTTTTTTTTCCTGGCAACTGCTTGTTTTTCTAGGTTCCCTGCTGAAAGGAATTCCAGTGAGAGATTGGAAGAAATTTTCAGTTATAGATGAAAACCGCCGAAATACATACACTCAGCCTGTTCAGTCTACTTCTGTTCAAGAACCTTCATTTTTAACGGCCTTCGAGGGGGGAAGGAAGCTTTTGATGCCAGTAAGTGCCTAAATATTAACATAACTTGCACATCTCTTTTTCATTTTTTTTGTTAAGCATATGCGTGCTATTTTGTCTAGTTTATCTCTATATTGATACAAATATGCATATTATTTGTTTATGTTGATACTGCGTTGTCAATCACTTAAAATCTTTTATAGTCTCTTGCTGGAGATACTTATATCGCATTTGGAACATATTTTCACTATCTTCTTTTGCTTCCCTGGTAAAATTTAATTCCTGTAAGTTTTAATGGTAAATTACAAATAACTTAAGGAAACTAATTGTCACCTAGCATCACCCTTTAATCATTAGATTGTGGGTTTTTTTTCCGGTGGGGTTGGGGTCCAATTTTTCTTTCCCAAATTGTCAATCTAGGTTTACAAGTGCCTACAAAAGTGTTGAGCGGTGATAAGTGCTACTTAGACACTGATGAGAAGCGTTATGTTCAGTATACGTGCAATTTCAATTACATTCCACTCCGTTACTTTATGCTCTTTGTTCAGAGTTATCCAGAGATCACTGAGTTATGGTCTCCTTTCCGGTCTGTTACTTTTATGCTCTATGTTAAGAATCAAGGATTCCCCGACACGTCAATTGGGCTGCTGTACCTGTGTTGGGTACGTTTTGCGTGTGGTTCCGCACCAAAATGGCGGGGATATGTGAGAAATTTCTTTCTCATACGTGGGATGATTTAAAGACGTAAAATTAGGTTCATTTGGCAATTGGGTCAGTTTTTGGACCAATAACCCAAACCTGCTTCTTAAGTATTCTTCCCAACCGCTGTTTCACGTGCTTATCTTTCTTCCTCACCTCCGACCCATCTACTGAAGCATCGCTTCATTAGCATAGACCATGACGCCACTGGAAGACGTAGAAAATCCTCTCGATAGTGGTTTTCCGGGGCTACAACAATGGAAAAGATCACTGACGAATACTTCCGTGACATTTTAAAGTCAAAGGATTAAGTATTGTAGTTTTTAATCTTTTTTAGGGTTTGTTTTCGGGATCCTTTTTTTTGGGGGGTATTCTGAATCTATTTTAGGTTTTTTATTCTTTTTTAGGGTTTTTCTGAATGGATTTTATGGTTATTGATATCTGAATTAGATTTTCCAGTGAGGCATATACTTTAGAATTTTATGGAATTTTAGTGTTTTTTCAATTTAAATTCTATTTTGTCATATCTTATTGAGAAAACAATTTTAAGGATCTGAAGTGTGTATATATAATCAGCTGTGCCCCCGTACCCTATCTTTTACAAATTTGCAGTGTCCGGCACCCGCACCCGCGCCCATGCAACTTAGTTAATAATTATTCAGACATTACTGACTTGTGGTCTCCATTGAAACAACACCAGGTTGGGGTTTACATGGAGGAGGCATATGCCAGAAGTTTGGCTCGGTTTGCTGCAAACCTTGGTCCTATTGGTTGGCAAATTGCTTCCAAGCGAATCGAAAGAGTACTTCCTCCAGGGACAAAGTTCGGTCCTGGGTGGATTGGGGAAAATGACACAGCAAAAAAATTTCAGCCCCCAGTGCTATCATCATCATCTCAAGCAAAACCCATAAACAAAAGTGGATCAGGATCAAATGTCTCAGCTTCGGCAGCACCATCTACGAGTAGTAGACCTGTTGACTCTGTGCAGTATGGAGGTGAATTTCAGCCCAGGAGTCCCTTGCAAACTTGTGAGAACTTGGCAACGAAGTGTAACACATCAAATGGTTTTAATCCTGGGTATGGATTAAATCTTCCATCTAAAGCAGTGAAGATCAACAATTTTGTGACGGCTGGAAATTCAAATGCAACAGACCCTAACCCTAGTTCTGAAGGGCTATGGAGAGGTTTGACACACAATTCAAAACCTAGCTCAGTTCCGCCGGACTTGAATTCTGATTTCCATTCTCCTGGATCACCGGTCTCAGGCGGGCTTGTTGATTCAAAGAATCAGCAGCAGCAGCAGCGAAAACCGCCACAGCCGCATTTGGCATTGCAGCTGTAGCATATTTTTGTGTTTTTTTGTGGGAAATGTATCCTTAATTTGGTTGAGATGCAGGAATTGCATCCGATGTGATTCATAGAGGGAGAGGGAGGGGTTTGTACAGTCTAATTGATGTTGTTGAATTAGGCAGTTTCCAGCAGAATCATAAGGGGGGAAAGTTCATCTATATAACTAGCCTGAGTCGGTTGAGCACAAATCACAGTCTCTCATCTTTTGTACCTACTTCATAGATTGTTATACTTTACGCGCAAGTATGATGTCTTGCATATCCTGTAAGTATACGTGATGTCTATCTTTACTTAACACCGTCTGTCCTAAAGAATAAAAGAATAGGATTTATATTGCCTAATTGCTTAAGTAAGAGATTAAGATTTTGCTTTAGCTGCTTAACTACTAGAACAAGAAAATAAAGTCAAGTGTGGGGAGCTCGATCCATGTCGGTCAATTTCATCACAGTAACCTTTTTCCATCCTTCCAAATCATTATTCATTGCTACTGGGTTAAGAAGTTTCCAGGCTTAATTATGAGCTAGGGTGTTTACTTCACCTTTAGATTCGTCATGATTCAAAACTCTTACGTGTACTAAGCATATGATGTCTGTATATTTTTACGCAGGTAACACATTATTAATGAAAGTCCAAGAAGCACAGAAAATTACCTTTCAAGAAAAAAAACAGCGCTAACAAAAGAGAGTTCAGATATACATACGTATAATACACACACACACAATATGGCAACAGGTTTTAATTCTCTAAAATATTCACAAAAATTTAAACAACATTGGCATACATTCCCGATCAACTGAACCCATGCATGCACGTACCTACTTCCATCAACATTCCTCTTATCCTCCACCCATGCTCTCCTTCCATTCCAAATCCAAATTTACACCCGAAAAAAAAAAATAAGGGGAAGAAGGAAAAAGAAAAAATCTCAAAATATTCCTAAATCCTCCATCATTTTTACAAAACAACAAACAAATTCAACGACACCAACAAATCATTCCAAAAAACCTCCACCAAAACCCTAAACTACAATTCCCAGTCAAACCTCCCCGTTGGCCTCCTGAACCACCTCTCCACCACCCTCTTCAGCCCTCGTCCCTCCTCTCGCACCCGTCCTGGCCCACCACTCCGGCTCCACGTCGTCAGTGAACCCCAGCCCGGCGTCCTGGTACCTGGACCCCACGTTCCTCCTCTCCGTCCAGTCGGCCACGTAGGCGACACCCTCCGCCGGAACTTCTTCCTGAAGCTCCCCCACGCCTGGTACTTGTAGTTGGTTCACCGGCCGCATTGCCCGGGCTTTCGCACGTGCCACCCGGCCCCACGCAAGTGGCTGGACCGAGTTTCTCAATGCGGCCACGCTGCTTCCGGCTTGACTATCGATGTGCCTCTGGCGTCCCGTCGGCGGTCAGCGGCAGGTGTAGCCTTGGGTCACGCGGCGGGCGGTGTGGCGCGTTGACGCTTAGGCCGAGTCAACGCACGTGATCTGCACCTGTCCTAGGTGGGGGAGTCCGGGCCGATGATGGACCGGATCATTGTTTTGTTGGGCCGGGCTGAGCCGGCCCATGAAGGGAGTAGAGGAACTCGTCGACGTCGAGAAGGCTATCCATGCGCAGTCGCCGCTAACGTGCGCTGCCGCGGCGCAGTGGGGAGACCCGGCTTCTTGCGTCTTCTGCCACGGCCAGTATATGGTGCTGACGTTCAAGCCCGTCGTCAGCAAGCTTGAGTCAGCACGTTAGAGAGATCGTCATCGCTGCCGTTATCGATAATAAAACGAATTTATCGATTCCAATCTCGCGAATGGGAAAGAAACCCATTCTCTAAGAAGCTTGGCGGCGTTATACACCATCGTGCACGCGCACGTTTAGCGGCTTCGTCGGCTCCCGCTACGTTCGCCGGTTCACGGCGGCGCGTACACGGCGACTGATGGGATCGCTGAGCTCTCGCTGGCGATCTTGACGGTCACCCTTACGTCTCCGTTCAAGATTGACGGTGGGTGTGGGACAGCGGAACACCTCCTGCGCCGAGACAGTGGCGTTTGTAACGGCAGCGACAGCGCGTTGGCAGAGGAAAACGCAGGTGACGTCACGTGCCGGCCCGATCCCTGCCCTGGTTCTTGTTAACCCCCTGGCGAAGACGATGCGACGTCATCGGCGGTGACATCGACTCGTAAGCGAGCCGGTTCCATCTCATCATCTCCGTCATCCGATCCGAGCCCGACCCGATGACGGTAGAGCCCGATACGATCAGCTTCGGAGTGTAGAAGGGCCGCAGCCTCTGAACGCTTCTGGGCATTTTGCAGAGAAACCATCTTCGGGCTGAGGAGGGATTCGACCGCTGTAGTTGGCTGCCGACGTGGCGCCGTTTGAGAAGAGGCAGACATATTGTTACGCCACCGGCGGCGGTTTTATTGGGGAGGAGAACGAAGACGAACCAATCGGGGAAGAGGACGGACTCGGTCGCCGGCGGTGAGAATAAGGGTTTCCGCTCGATGGGTGAGGCGCTGAGATAGGTGTTCTGGTTTGTTGAGGAGGGAGGAGTAGGCGGTGACGGGATCCGGGGGAGGAGGGGGGTTAACCTGTACAGGCTATCGAAGTTGGTTGAGAGAGAAGAGTAGGAAGGATTGGGAGGAAGGTTAGGATCCCTGCGGTTCATTTTACCGCTGGAGGCGAGTTTCTGGTATAGAGCAGGGGAAGACGAATCGATCGGGATGGAGTTTTAAAGACGAGGTATTTTCTCATAAACCCGAAGTTTTGTGATTATTTATGTTCAATCCATATTTCATTCGAAATCATTTCGAACACAAAGTACTTATATTGAGGTAAAAACGGGTATAGAAAGAAATCTTAATAATCTTGCGTTTAAGAGTGAGTTTGTAGTGGGTTGGGCTAGGGAAAAAAGTTTTTCTAAACTGTGGTTTAGAAGGAAAACTCCATGAAGTTTTGTGATGTTCAAGATTGGCGAATACGAACGGGACTGTTAGTTTCTGTTATTGAAATTTGCACCCACTTTTTCCTTGCGGGTCCCCACTTTCGTATGTGAGAGGGTGAGTGGAGTGGTGAAGAAAGTCTTGAAAAGAGGCGGAAAGGAAGGAGGGAGGGTCAAATGAACAGGCGCTACACGGTTCGTTGTAATCTTGTTTCTTTCTCGTTATATAATCCCGCGTTTTTTCTATTGGGCGTCGTTGAAAATCCATTTTCATGGGATTTTGAAATCTTTTAAGGGGTGTTGATTTTTGACTCTTCGCTTTCTTAATTGGTGATATGGATATGGAGCGGAAAACGAGGAATGTTTTCGAGGAGGAAAAGGAATATACAAAAAGAGTAATTCTATTTATTGCCAATCTAATTAATAATAATTGGTTATCATATGAATTTCGAGAAATGACCATACAAAAGACTATATTCCGCATAAAATACTATCCTTTATTCGCATATTATGTTATCATGTACATTTAAAGTATTAGAATATTAAAAATCAAAAAATAATTAAGACATCGTGTGTGTAATTCATTAAAGAATGAGTGTTTCTAAAGATCCCGAAAATGGGACAGATAGGGGGGGCATGTGAGGTGTCCCCCCTTAATTGTATAATGATCTGGCCCATGACCAGCTCATTATGCAATCAGAGGGGCGGACACCTCACTTGTCCCCCCTTTATATGTCACATTTTCAGCTCCGTAAGACATTTTCTTAAAAAAATTTATGTAGAATTATAATGAATTTTATAAATTGGGATTTGTTTTCTTGAGTTTTCATAATGTTTGAGAGATGATTGGTTGCCATCAATCCAAATATAAAATAGATCCCTACCCGGCCCAAACTTTTTTATTCTCTAATAGATCATTGGTTTTTCTATAGAGTGCCCATGGGCACTATATAGAGAGGAGAGAGATAGAGAGAAGTTGAATTGCCCATAGAATTTAGTGCAAATCAGGGGCCCATGGGCAATTCACTTCTCTCTATCTCTCTCCCTCTCTTATAGAGTGCCCTATGGGCACTCTATAGAAAAACCCTATATTCTTATCATCATCAACCAAACAATCACTTCAACAAATAGTTATGAGTTGATAAAAATACCAATATAAATTCCTTTAAGTTCAAGATATTTATAAGATGAGGAAAAAGAATTGTGAAATTTTAACCATCAATCAATTTAGTGTACGAAGATTCCTTCTTTTGCATAGGGGCCTGTTTGTTTCGTTTCTCCCAGAATTCAGAAACCCACTTTCCTTCACTTTTTCACTATCCTCACTTCTTTAACCACTTTCATTCACTTTCTCCACTTTTCCCCAATAATATTGTGACAACTATCCATCACACTCATTTCTTACTTTTAAAAATAAACTAAACACAAGAAATGAGTCACATCAATCAACTCATCTAACTCACCTCACCTAATTTTTCTTTATTTTCTATCATCTCTAAAAATTACTCACATCATTCAATTAATATGGTGACAAATCATCACATCTCATTAAAATTTTTCTTCATCCATTTCTCCAAAAAATAAGGAAATTGATTTTACTAAGTATGTGTCACATCATCCAATAATATAATGACAACTCATTTTCTCTTATTTATTTTCTTAGTTTTAAGAATGAACCAAACACAAGAAATAACAAAAAATAAAAAAAGTGGAGGAAAACATCAAAAATTACTCTGTCATCAAATAATATGGTGACAACTCATTTTCTCCCTCACTTTCTTTCCGAATTTTGACGAACAAACATCAAAATTAGAGAAAAACATCAAAATTTATTTCTTTCCCCCACTTTTCTGTAATTTTTGTGGAAACAAACATGCCCTAACTATTATTCTACAAACTAAGGAATTTGTGGTACCTACAATATAACCCTCAATTTGTTCTCCAATATTACTTCAAACCAATGTTTAAGATTCAATTTCGTTAACGATATTTATTCCTCCTTTACAGCTAGTAGCATTCAAGTGAAGCTCCAAGAAATTGACATATAGGTCCAAGTCCACATGGTCACTACAACATTGCAACTTGATATCCTTAATTAGCTTAGAATGTTTGTTAGCTTCTCTCATCATAGAGTGGTCAAAGGGAATTTCTTCTCATTTACGCAAAAAAAAAAATTATTTTAACTACTCCTAAGATACATCATTGATAATGGACATGTGGTTTCTTCTTCTATAGACAATAAGAAGTGTTGAATTATATATGTGCGCATTCATACAATAATTTAAGACTGGTTCCTTTATCTAATATACTAAAAGAATGGGTCTACACTGTTCCTAAGCACAGTGGGCACTCAATACTTGGTTATGAAAAAGAAATTAATTTTACTCATTAGTCCAAACTTATATAATTTAATTTTTTAGCCCCAAAGAACTATACTGTACCAACTCCAAAGCATTTGTAGGAATAGCAGCCGCCAACTAGCACAATATAATAATGTATATTGAAGGTTTTTCACTAAAGATCTCACGTTTCACCTAAATTTATTTTTAAGCCCGAAATCTCACATAAAGCGGCTTTATTCCTTCAGAAATTAAAGATTTACTTCATCATATTGTAAAGCATTATATGCTTCTAAGATCACTCTTAGTCCAAAAAATCTATTATTAATATAACTATTACTATTTATATTATTTATACTATCTAATAGTAGTTATATTATATGATATAATTTCAATAATTTTTTTTGCATTGCGACATAATTACTTCATAGATCAGTTAGTAAGAGAGGCTATATTTTGAGCCCCAAGGTCCATGGGTCCAACTCTTGCGTTGCCCATTTTACCTCCAATGTTAATGTTAGCTCTCTCTACAGTCAATTTTTATTTAGTTGAGAGTGATCCGATCCTCTCTTCATTCAGATATTTTATGAAGAAGGAAAACCAGAAAAAAATGGGAGAGCCATATTTACTTTAAACTCAATCCTCACCTCCACATTACTCCTTCCTCACCTCTGAAACTTTGTCAATCTTGTATTTTACACAGTGATCTCAACATACATCTTCAAACCTAACATATTAAAAAAAAGAAAAATTTCCAACCAGAAGAATAAGCCTATATTTCTCTAGGAACCTCTCTTCTCCCCTTAATATTTTCAATCAACTATAGATAGACATTTTTATATCTACAGGCACGTCCAAAATAAACATAATAAAAAAATTCCATCCACAAGCATAAATCTATAGTTATCTAGAATCTCTCTTCTCCTCCTAATATTTTCAGTTAAAAATCCTATTTTGAATTCTCAGCTCATCACCTCTCCACATCATCTCAAAAACCCCTTGAATTTAAAAAACCGAAACAAAATTCATTGATCAAAAAGTGGAGGAACAAGGAAAAATTAACAAACTTAGATCGATGTCGAGCAGTTGTGGAGGAGGAATTAGAGAGAGGGGATGAGTAATGTGCGATGACATCAGCTTTCATTATAGAGGATTGTCTGGGGACGTTGTAGGATTTTGTTGAAGTGGAAATTGTGATAATTTTGGAGGGCGTAACGTTTTGGTAAGTTAATTATTTGGGAATTATTTATTAGGGCCTGTTTGGTTCAAGCAAAATTTTGGCATTTGTAATCAATTACAAATTTTAGGATCAATAAGTTGGATTTTTTGCTGTTGCGTTCCATATTTGGTGTGTCAAGAAAATTTTTTAAAATATTGAATTTAAAAATGCCAAAAAATAATTATGTAGAATTTTCAAATACTCTCAATTGGAAGAGAAAAAAAAAAAAAAAAAAAAAAAAAAAAAAAAAACCGATTTCACAAATTCCATTAAATTGAGGTACTGCTTATCTCTCTTTTTATACCCTTAGTATTTTATTTATTTTTATGCAGAGGAAACATCACCAAGATACGTATAAATCCATGTCCTTT